GAGATGAATCAAGTACATGATACTGTGTATTTTAAGACAAAAATACATGGAAAAAAATGGGTGAATAAAAGAGGTATGGCAAAGAGAAAAGGAGAAAAGGTAGGATAGAGAAAAGAAAGAAAACAATAGAGAAAGAAGCAGGCCACTGTTCAGATTTTGAGTCTGCTGTTTAATACTTATCCATCCTTGAGAAAGTTACATAAGCTTTTTATGTCCTGGTTTTCCTATCTTAACTATAGGGATAAGAATATATGTCTCACAGAATTGTTATGAAATTATATATAAAGCATTTAATGTGCTTTGAAACAGTCCTTGGCAAATAGTAAAAACTTAGGTGGCAGCAATTGTTAATATTTACTATATTCCTACCATGTTAGCACAGGAGTCAGATTTTCTGGGTTCAAATGCTGGCTCTTTTACTTACTATGTAAGGCTGCAACTATGAGCAAATCATTTAACCTTTTTGTGCTTCAATTTTCTCATTTCCAAAGTGGGGGAAATTATAGCAGGGTAGTTACAAGGATTAAAGAAGATGACATATGTAAAACTTAGAATACTGCCTGCCTCATAAGAAATGCTCAATAGATGTTTGCTGGCATGGTTACTGTAGTTAAAGGAGCGAGGCATTTGGAAATGATTAGCAAATCAGAGGTAAAAACACCAATAGGAGGAAGAGCATGCATAATTTTTCTTTTCTTTCTTTTTTTTTGGAGGAGAAAAGAAAAATAGTTCTATAATAGTTTTGTTATACCACTTACCTACAACTTTAAGTGAAATCTTATGGTAAGGATGGGATTATATTTATATTTAAGTTCACGTTATGAAATTTCATGTGGAATCATGCCATTTTCACATCAGAAGAGGAGCTTCCAAGTCATCTAGTCTGGAGCCCCAGAATTGCCCACGGTCACACAGAGGGTTAGTGGAAGCACTAAGGATAGAAGATAACAGTGTGGGCAAGAATGTGGAGAAAAGGGAACCCTTGTGCGCTCGTAGGGGCAATGTAATTTGGGACAGTCAATATGGAAAACAATATGGACATTTCTCAAAAAATTAAATAGAATTATCATATTAAAAAAAAAGAAGACACTATATAATTCCTAGTGCACTGCCCTTTTCCCCTTCACCATGCTGCCTCTGTATTAGCTATATTGGAACTTGCTCTAGAAGGGATTTAACTTAGTTTGACACTAAGTGATCTTGTGACCAAATGGTTGAAAAAGAGGCACTGAAACAGTTAATTACGTATATTTTCTGTTTTGTTTTTTAGAGGATATAACCCCCTTTATTTTATATTAAGAGAGAGATTGAAATTATATGAAGAAAACAGTTACCTGGGAGCTAGCATCTCAATTTCTTTTAAGTTCGTCTAGTTAACCTAGTGTTATATGAGCTTCAGGTGTACAATATTGTGATTCAACACTTCCATACATCACCCGGTGCTCATCAAGGCAAGTGCACTCCTTAATCCTCCTCGCCTACCTCACACATCCCCCCCATCCACCTCCCCTCTGATAACCATTACAGTTAAGAGTTTGTTTCTTGGTTTGTCTCTCTCTCTTTTTTTCCTTTGCTCATTTGTTTTGTTTCTTAAGTGCCACATGAGTGAAATTATATGGTATTTGTCTTTCTCTGACTTCGTTAGCATTGTAATCTCTACCTCTATCCATGTTGTTGCAAATGGCAAGACTTCATTGTTTTTTATGGCTGAGTATATTCCATTGTGGATGTATACCACATCTTTTTTATCCATTCATCAATTGATGGACACTTGAGCTGCTTCCATACTTTGGCTATAGTAAGTAATGCTGCTATAAACATAAGGGTGAATGTATCCCTTTGAATTAGTGTTTTTGTACTCTTTAGGTAAATACCCAATAGTGAGATTACTAGATCATATGGTAGTTCTATTTTTAATTTTTTGAGGAACCTCCACACTGTTTTCCATAGTAGCTGCACCAGTTTGCATTCCTACCAAGAGGATTCCTTTTTCTCCATGTCCTTGCCAACACTTGTTGTTTCTTTTGGGTTTTAGCCATTCTGTCAGGTATGAGGTGATACCTCACTGTAATTTTGATTTGCATTTCCCTGACAATGAGTGATCTTGAGCATCTTTTCTGTGTCTGTTGGCCATCTAGTATCACCTCAAATTTTTAATGTTATAGGCCACTTTTCTTCTGTCCATATCAAGAACAGTTATGGGCAAGGCCAAAGAAAGCTGCTTATAGGTCCCTCCTGCCAGACCTTATCACAGACATGTAACAGGGAAGAAAGCGTCTAAGCCACTAGCACTGCCAGTGGTGTCTGTCTGTTGGTGGTCTGTTAGTGTAAGGTGGCACATCAAAAGTAGCAACTGAGAGATACTGCTCTTAAGAATGGAAATAAAGGGGCGCCTGGGTGGCTCAGCCGTTAAGCGTCTGCCTTCGGCTCAGGTCACGATCCCAGGGTCCTGGGACCGAGCCCCGCATCGGGCTCCCTGCTCCGCGGGAAGCCTGCTTCTCCCTCTCCCACTCCCCCTGCTTGTGTTCCCTCTCTCGCTGTGTCTCTCACTGTCGGATAAATAAAATCTTTAAAAAAAAAAAAAAGAAAAAAAAGAATGGAAATAAACTCACCGAGTTACGTGGGTGATGTTTTTTATTCCTAAAATGTCCCTCCAACAAGACTATATCCGTAACTCCTGTTGTATTAGTGTCTCATATTCTAATGTCAAATTATTGGAATATAATTTTATATTATGGGTCAATTTGGATATACTTCCTCTCCTGTTGACCAATTATTGTAACAGTAATTAGCAAAACATATGAAAGATGTACTTTTTAGCTGAATTACTATCCCTATTACATAGCTATACTAGGTAGCTATAATTTTTAAAGTATAACATACAGGCCATAAAGAACCCAGTCGTTACTGTACCACTCAATGAACTGCCACAAAGTTAACACATACATATAAACACCACTCACGAAAAATAGAAACATACCTTCACCCCAGAACCACCATGTCCTTCTAGTTTTATCCCCATCCTCAGCCCACTATCCCATCCCCACTTACTCCTGCTCCCAACATGCTGCAGTAAAGGTAACTTTTTTACTAACCATTCAATAGTGTTTGGTGGGTTTGAAACTCATATAAATATATCATACAGTATGTATGAGAGTTCTAGCTGCTCCACAAACATTTGTCAATGTTTGATGTCAGTCTTCTTCATGTTAGCGTTCTCATGAGTGCATAGGGATACATTATTGTGCTTTTAATTTGATGACTAATGAAATTAAGTACTTTTTACTTGTTTATTCGCCATTTGGATAGTTCTTCTTATGAAGTACCAATGAGTTTTTTGTTCACTTTTAAATTGACTTATCTGTTTTTTTCTTACTGATTTAAAAGCTTTTACGTACTCTGTAATGTGACTTTCATCAGACATACACACACACGATCTCAAATACCAGTTTTCCCACTCTATTCTTACTTTTTCAGTCTCTTAACATTGTATGAGAGGAGTTCATAATTTTAACATAGTTCAATTTATCAGTCATTTTTGTGTGTGTGTGGTTAGTGGTTTCACGTCCTGTTTAAGAAATACTTGCCTAATCCAAGGCCATGAAGATATTCTCCTATTTTATCTTCTAGAAATGTATTGGTTTTTCATTTCACATGGGGATCTTCAATCCAATTAGATTTGATATTTCTTTATGGTATGAGGTAGGAGAAGACCATAAGTTTTTGCTGAGATTTGTGTAGGTGATAGTTTTCAATTAGCAATAATCGCTCCTCGAATGCTGCCATTGCACAAAGCTTGGGACTTGTCAAGGTGATAAGGGTAAAATGCAAATGAAAAGAAATAAACTCGGGTTATAAGTCCAAAGAAAAAGCACAGAGGAATAACCTACTTTTTTTTTTCATTTTTAAAAAAATTAATAGACTTAAATTTCTTAGAGCAGTTTTAGGTTTACAGAAAAAATGATCAGAAAGTACAGAGTTCCAAATATCTCCTCTCCACCCCACAGTTTCTCCCATTATTTACATCTTGTATTTGTGTGGTATATTTGTTACAACTGATGAATCAATATGCATGCATTATTAACTGAAGTGCATAGTTTACATTAGGGTTTATTTCTTTGTATTGTACACTTGCATGGGTTTTGACAAGTGTATAAAGACCTAACCTTAGTTTCTAAATGCTTTCTCACCTTTTCAGTGAATAACGGCAGATGTCACCATTTTCAATATAATAACTTTTTATTAGCGGAGCTGAAAAGTAGCAGTAAAATGAGCAGATACAATGTTTAATATTACATCCTCAAATGAGAAACATTTGACAAAATATTTAAAATATTTGGTGAGAAAAATAAAATGCGTTGACCTATGTTACAAAACACATGAGTGCCTGAGGTCATGCATTTATATTCTGAAATTAAGGAATCTGGCTTTTTCATAGAGGTTATGCAGTTGGCCGTTGTGTGCATGACAAAATACTATGGGCACTGTTCTCACAGTACCTGCCAAAAAACAACCAGTAGAATAAAAGTCAGATGAAATCTGTTCACAGCTATTTGTAATTTTGTTGCTAAAAGCATGAAGAAAACCCAGTAGGCATTAATCTGCCAAAGCAACATGGAAAGTACCACGCCATATCAAATGCAAGTCCATCTGGGCTCATGTTTTTCCTTCTTAACAGAGGCTGCTGATGCGAGCTGCTACTCAAACCCCTTTTAACCCAAATTCATAAAATTCCATAATTATTTTAGATCATCAGCCAGATTCTCTATGAGCCAAAACTATTCTGAGAACTTGAACTGATACAGCAATTCATTATTTTGGAAGCTTGCTGAGAATCCTTGGGTAATTTTTTTGTGGCTATCTAAATTTTATCACACATTTAAATGTGTTTAAGAATATCTACATTCTGTTCCCAGTCTATTTATCCAGTCACATCTTTCAATCCTCACTTCTACCAGCACTCGAAGCCTTTTTTTTTCCCATTATGAGGGAAACTAGCTAACTTCAAGGGAACCAAGGGTAGTTCTCAGGGCCGTGACTGACAACAGAGCTAGGAGGGACCATATTGGACTGTCATAAAAGGTCCCCATGAACACATGGTAATTCCGATACTCAAATGAAATCTGTGCCTGACGCCGCCCATACTGTAACACGACAGGCTGTTAATCATTCAGTTGGCATTGCTTGAAATTTCCTTTCTCTGTGCCATTGCTTATGCTGTACTTGTGGTCTATTAAAATTGTACATAGTCTTCAAGGCCTCCCTCACAGTATGCTCCTCCACGAAGCATTTCCTGTCTCTTGCAGCAAGAAATGATTTTTGCTTTCGGCAAACACTTCACATTAACTCTCATCATAGGCTGCTCTGCAGTTATTTAGGAACTTGTCTTCTCTCTGCTACCAAACTGTGAGGCCCCTAAGGAAAGAGTCTGAAAATTACATTTATCCTTGTATGTCTTATAACACCTGCTTAATTTCTTGCACATTCTAGTTGTTCAGTAAATATCTACTGAGTGAATTTTACCTTTTATTATGTGTGGATCCCTTTCAAACTCAGCTGAGCTGTCTATGAGCAAGTAAGGGTAAAAGTATCTGGTAGTCCTAGGAGGGCACAACTTAAATATCTGCATTGTTATAGAAAAAACAAAACGAACAAAACAAAACCTTTACACTGAGATAAACCAGAGAGAAATATATATCAAAATGGGCCTATGGCTATCTATATCATTCTAATGCTTTCATTAATTTACAGTATATAACTTAGAAATTTGGAGATAATTTATAGAAGAACCAAATAGAGAATCATATTGGTGGGAAGTTTAAAGTAATGACTGGGGAGAATAATTTAGAAGACTAAGACTAAATTGAGTATATACACAATAATAATAACTAGCTAACATCTAGAGCACTTATAGGCCATGGATTATGCTAATACTTCATTTGTGTTTCACCTTTAAGCCCCACAACAATCCTTTGAGATAGAATTGTTTCAGATAGTAGTATTAATTCCCTCATTTACATATGAGAAAATAGGCATAGAGAAGATAATTGGCTTGTTCTACTTCTCTTACCATTTGTCAAATAAGTGGTAGAGCCTGGATTCAAACCTACTCTAACTCCTGCTCTTGACCATAATTCTGCATTAACAGTAATTTAGGATGTTCATCCACCTATCCATTTACTCATCCATGCATTCATTCAGTATATGTTGAGGAGTACTATGTGCTAGACACTCTGCTTTGTACCGGGAATAAAGAATACAAAACATAGTCTTGACCTTTAAGGAGTTATAATTATAGTCCATTGGAAAAACCAGGCAAGGTTTTCCAGGGAAACGTATATTAAAGAGTTAACTTTCTTGAAGAAAGAACTAGGCAAAAAAGGAAGGGAAGTATTTTAAAGTCAGAAGAAATGGTATATGCAAATACCAAAGGATAAACAGAGTATTGCATGTTTGAGGTGCCATGGAATGTAGGTACAGTTTGGGTGAAACAGATAAACTGAGTCTAGATTATGAAGGTCAGCTAATTTGCAGTTCTATTGAAGGAACCACACTAGAAATATTTGCTTATATTCCAGTTATTAGTATTTTCTTGACCAAATCAGTAGTATTTTATTGCCTAACCATAAGAGGGACAGAGAATTGAATTTGGAAAGGGTTAAAAGAATGCTAAATGAAAACAGTCTTACTTGTTAATTAAGTGTTTTAAGTCTCCTCCCAGAAAAATAATAAAACAAAAGGAAGCTTTAAATAAAATCTGGTACAAATACTATATTTTCAGTAATTCATTAAATTTCTAGGAAATTGCTGGTACTAATGAAATATTTACATGTTTTTGGTTTTTTTTTGCTGCAATTCCATTTGTAAAAAGAAAATAGTTACCCAAAAAAAACTCAATAGTTTTATAATTTGCTTTTAGATCTAGAAGATGGCCAAAAACAAGCTATGGTTAGTGAACGGACAGAAGCCTTTACCACTGCTCGAAATTTATTGGCCTCTGGAGCCGATGCTATTGAACGGATTATGTCTTCATACAAAGAGGTACTGGCATTTCTTGTTGTCAATTTGATTAAAATAATACATATGAAAATCAAGAAAAATGTAAATCATCAGATGTACCTAGCATTTTGGAAACATATCTTTTCTCTACTAAAAATTCCTAAGAGTATAATCAAGATAAAGGGCAGCAACTCCCAAGTATATTGTGCTAATACTCTAGTTTTTACACTCTTAATTGCTCTTAATTGTAACTCCTCTTTTTCAGTCTGTAGTATGACATATTTGTTTTTAAACTAAAAAAAAAAAAAAAAAAGAAAGTCTATTAGGTATGGATTCTGGAACCAGAGCACTTAAATTTAAAATCTTGCTCCAGTGTTTACAAATTATGTGAACTTGATCAAATTCCTTAACCTGTCTGTGTTTGTTTCCTTATCTGTAAAGTGGAGATAATGATAGCATTACTTGGTAGGGTTGCTGTGAGTTAATATAGGTAGAATATTTAAAACAACACATATTTAGGAATTCAATAACTGTTAGCCAATGATATTTATATACCTTGCAATATTTATATACCTTGCAATACCTTTACTCATCCTTCATGACAAGTCAAGCCTCACGGACCACATATAAAACCCTCTTGTGATTCTACTTTCTGCTCACCTTCCCTGCAAAGTCCGGGTCTTCCTTCTCTGGGTTCTGGTGCAATACCACATTATAATGGCCCATCTCCTCGCCAGACCCTGAGTGGAAAGCATCAACAGTTTACTCATCTTTGCATTCCTAATATTCATTTTAATGCTTGGAAAATTGCATGTGGTCAAGAAATATTTGCTGAAAGAATGGTAATAAGACTTGGCAGATATCAGAGGGTTAAAATTAGAAATTATTTATTTCAGATATTATAGGACATTCCCATGGTCAGTCATTTTCACCATTAATTCTTCTTGTGGCTTTTGTATCAATATGAATCACCACAGCATCATTATAAATTCATCTGCCAATTAAATGATCCTTGCATATAAAAGAGTAACAAAGTTTGTGATTTGCTCACAAAATTTCCAGTGTCATTCAACAATTGATTTATTGAATTGGGTTTCTTTAAAAAGTAAAACCAATTGTTTAGGGCCACATACCAAAACAACTCAGTTTTAAATTAAATTTAAAATTTTTTCAGGGTCGCCTGGGTGGCTTAGTCAGTTAAGCAGCTGATTCTTGGTTTCAGCTCAGGTCATGATCTCAGGGTCCTGGGATTGAGCCCCCGTGTTGGGTTCCATGCTCAACCGGGGAGTTAGCTTGTGGATTCTCTCTCTCCCTCTGCCCTTGCTCATGCTCTCTTTCTCTCTCTCTAAAATAAATAAACAAATAAATCTTTAAAAATTTTTTTCAAATAGTAATTTTGATAATCTGTAGATGTAATAAATCCATTATTAAAATTAAATGACATCAAAATTTTATCCATCTCATATTAAAATACTTTGCTATCTAAGTCACAGAAAGAATATTGACTAGTTTTTCTACATTGTATCCAATACAAGAAATAATTGCATTTTGCTTTATTTTCCCTGAATGTGCTTGGGATCATAGAATGCTCACTTCTAAAGAATCTTACTACCATTGTGACAGCACATGAAAGCGCCAAACCTTCTCTCTGCTAGTTCCACAGGGAACAAGATTCCTTTTCAGAATAAGAGTCCTAGGGCAAACTCCCTGCCATGTGTCCTAAAGTAATTTGCCCACAGTCACATTCTGTTTTTTTTCAGACACTCTGCCCACTCCATCATGCATCCTAGTGTATTAACTCATTGCCTCCTGCCTTTCTTTAACTGACACATGCATTTAGTTTTGGATATTTTTCTCGAAGCAAATATATTTACCCCGGTTTCTTTTGAATCTGTATTTTGTTAATTCTTAGCTGTTTTCCTCCACTGGGGAACTCAAGAGATTCTTCAAGATAACATTTTAGAAATTAACCCTTAGGGGCACCTGGGTGACTCAGTCGTTAAGCATCTGCCTTCAGCTCAGGTCATGATCTCAGGGTCCTGGGATTGGGCCTCGCATTGGGCTCCCTGTTCAGCAGGAAGCCGGCTTCTCCCTCTCCCACTCCCCCTGCTTGTGTTCCCTCTCTCGCTGTGTCTCTCTCTCTATCAAATAAATAAATAAAAATCTTAAAAAAAATTACCCCTTAAATAGTTGCAACATTAATATACTGAAATACAATGCTAATGACAGACCTCTCACACAGTGGAGACATGTGGTGGAAGGCTTTTGATAAAAACACCTACTCATTTATGGCTTAGGTTTTACACACACATAAATCTTACACAAATGTCAGCATTGTTGTATTATTCCACGGTTTATTAGTGATATGCCTTGCTTATTGGTGCCAATTTTCTAGTAAATATTCCTAAAAGGGAATGGTTTTTGTGCTTTCACTGAGAAAGATGGTCTTGACAGGAGATGAGTCACCTTTCACATTACCCTGATAACAAGGTGTTCTTTTAAAAGAAAAACAGCAGGAGATTCCACCTAAATTGATAACTGGCAGAATAAGAGCAAGACCCTATTCTATTGAGCCTTATGGACAAAAAGCAGAGCTTGATCTCATTTATTATCTCACCTAGAATAAAAGTCATATTTAGTGTTTTTCTTTGAGCATGTACATCACGTTTGTCTTGAAAAGAAGCTGAATCGGATTTGGACTGAAAAGGATTTGTAGCTTTTCACTGAACTCACTCCCAATATTGATATCTTCTGACAGGTATTTTCTTTGGTAAAGCTTAGGAATGTTGACAATTTGACTCAGAAACATTCATTTCATAACAAGGAAAAAAAATATTTTTCTTATATTTAAAAATCATCTATTTTAAATCGCAGAAAGATATCGAAACAAAAGATCATTATGACCTTAAGCTTTTCACAAAATTTCTATTTTTCTGGAAATGAAATTTGTCATGTAAATGGAGCCAAATCAGAAATTTGACTGAAGGATCTTTAGGCCTCACTAACATTCTGAAATCTTTACATTTATTTTGAACGCTGGCTTGAATGAATAATTTTTTACAGGTTTTGTAATTCCTGACATTGACACCTTGCTATGTTGCTCTCTGAGTAAGCCTTTTACTGTTACTTGTGATAGTTATCAGGTGTATTTTTTTTCATGCATAGTAAAATAAGATGTTTAACATTAAATCAGGACACTAATAGTATTGCATATCTTTTTCAAAAAGTCCATCTTGGGTATATTAACTCTATTTTACCCCTCCGTGTTGGTTTTAGATCACAGAATTAGCGGGCTATACTGCTCGAGTGTACAATATGTTTTGGGTCTTTGATGAAGTGAAAAGAGGCATTTATAAGAGAGCTGCTCTCATGCAAGAGTCTGAAAGCCACAGCAGGAATGGAGCTGACATAGAATTACCCCTCAGTGACGCACTGGAGATCAAAGGTATTGAATCAAATGTTTTATATTTTCCTAAATTTAAACGTTTACTTTAAAAAAAAAAGATTTTATTTATTTATTTGAAAGAGAGAGAGAAAGAGCATGAACAGGGGAAGAGGGAGAAGCAGGCTCCGGAGCAGGGAGCCCAATGAAGGGCTCGATCCCAGGACCCTGGGATCATGAGCTGAGCTGAAGTCAGACGCTTAACGACTGAGCCACCCAAGAGCCCCTTTAAATGTTTACTTTAGCAACAGAACCAAACATTTCTAGAAGATAGCTTTTAAGAGTTACAAAGAACTAATACTTGCTTATTTAAACAGTTCTTCCTAAAATTAGTGTCACAATTTGAGGAGTGGTGACTAACATTACCATAAAAAAATTATGCTACTTGTATTTAGGACAAATTTCTAGAATTATTTTTGGAAACTGCCCATATGGCAGAACAAATTGTTTGCTTTTAAAATTCAAAGACAGAATTAGAGCTAACATCTTATTGTTCTTCATCCTTCTATGAAGTTTTTTTAATTTTATTTTATTCACCATACATTACATCATTAGTTTTTGATGTAGTGTCCCATGATTCATTTTTTGTATATAACACCCAGTGCTCCATTCAATACGTGCCCTCTTTAATACCCATCACCAGGCTAACCCATCCACCCCCCAGAACCCTCAGTTTGTTTCTCAGAGTCCATAGTCTTTCATGGTTCATCTCCCGCTCTGATTCCGCCCCCCTCATTTTTCCCTTCCTACTATCTTCTTCTTTTTTTTTTTTTAACATATAATGTATTATTTGTTTCAGAGGTACAGGTCTATGATTCTATAAAATTTTTAAACTTAAGTTTGGTTATCACATTTTTAAAAATTGTACTCTTCCTTGTCTTAATTCCCTTTTTGCAGTGCTGTATTTTTTTTTCTGTAGGAAAGATTAATATAATGAAATAAGTAATTATAAAGAATATGGCTGGGTTCTATCAGATCGAGTTTATCCCATCATGCTCTCATTATGACATTGACATTAGATTATTGTAAAATCATGTTTCTGAGAAAGATTTTCCAAATATATGTGTCAGAATCCACATTTACATTAAAATTTGCTTTATATGTAGATGCAACATGTAATAGCTTTTATAACTTAAACTATTCCTTAACTTTTAGGAAGAGTTATTGATGTGGATCATGGAATTATTTGTGAAAATGTTCCCATAATTACACCAACGGGAGAAGTGGTGGCTTCCAGGCTAAACTTCAAAGTAAGATGATATTCAAGAATCTTCTGATTGTTGCCATCACACTAATACAAAACAACTCAGAATTCATGTACCTTATGTTAAATACTTGGAGGAGCATATGGAAAGGAGGGGAAATCAAGAAAGGTATGCACAGTGGCTCAATTACAGAAGCAGTTACTTCTTCAGAAAGCAAAGAGAAAGAGAAATTTGATTTCTACTGCTTTTTTGCCAGGTTGAAAATCAAAATTTCTCAGTGCACTGAGGGCCTATACAAGGTAACTTTTGGGAACAATAGAAAAATTCATCAGAAATTAATATCTGGAAGTAAATTTTAATTTTTCCTTGTAGGGATTATTCAAAATATATAAGCCTATATTGTAATATATTTACTAAAATATGAGGAAAGAGGTCCTTAGCAAGTTTACTCTCATTATTGAATATTTTCTAAATTTAATTTATATTTCCAATAATCTCATCTTCCATTCGGAAAAAAATAGAAGATTCGTGGATTAGTTTTTAATTTTGTTGAGAATAAGAGATATTTGTTATGTATTGTTCTATGTCTTGATTACAGAAACCAAGATGTAAAAATTTCTTAACAAACCTGAGGCCCTAATTTAAAACACTATAAAATTTGAACATACATTTTGGAATTTAAGTACACAATAATTTGCGGATAAGGACAAATGACTTTAATGCAGGCATCTAAGTGTAGTTCAAACAAAGACATGATTGGACTTGGTAACAGAATCACAGGCATGATAATACATGTACTAATGATTTTAGTAGGGACCTCAGTCTAGGATTATTTTTAAAGATGGGTCTGCAAATGAATAAGTGTGCTGGAAGGTGATATGTACTGAACATAGGGAAATTCTGTGATAACAAATATAAGAGAAATTGTGTTTTAACTATAATTTGGTTAGGTTTTATTTTTCCATTTACTTATTTGGATCTGATCATGAGTACCAATTAGGTGCTAATGATGCACCATAATCTTAAGTAGATTTGAAATAAAACTACTTGAAGAGGCATACATGGAATGTTTAATTACTTATTAATAGTTTAGCAATTTATAATTTATGACTTTTTATATAGAATTTGTCAGGTTAGGTTTTGTAATATCAATTCTTATTGCTCCATTTATTAAATAGAATTAAGTCTTGAATTCTGCCACCTACTAACTACATTATTGTGGACACACACTCTGTGAAAAAAATTCAGGGCTCAGTTTATTTTTTATAAAAAATGAATTTTAAAATACTTAATCTAATGAAAATGTCATGAATTTTGAACTTCTACAAAGATATATGTTAATATATACCTTATGATAATTTGTATTTTTCTGACACAGGGGTTTATTTAAAGTGTCAGTTCCCTAAAATATAATAAAAGTTCTGTTTCCTGTATGCATTGACAAATAAACAGGTTTCTAGAGGAAAAGGTTCTCATCCTTTTGTAGACATTGTGGAATTAAAAAACTGGAGAAGAAAATTCAATGAATGTGGGAATTATTTTTCCTTCACACTTGCTGTTTACTAAACATAAGAACACTTATGCCAATAAAATAATTTGAATGTAGAAAAGGCTTCTATTATGACTCAAAATGTGTTAAAAATCTGAGAATTCCTGAGAATGATGCTATTAAAATATTTTGTGAATATGCCTTTTGCCATGGCATATACCTTTAAAAAAATCATTTGGGAAGTTTTTATGCTTCTACAAAATTAAACTTCCTTAACCCTCTCTCTAGTGAAAGAGCACAGCAAATCACAAAATTAATTCTTTTCAGGCTCTTCCCAGGATTTTCTTTGAACTTTATTTTATCAAAATAGCTTTTCAGTTTGGCTACAATTAGGGAGAAAAAATGTCTATAGTAAATTGTTTAGACTCAAGCTCACTCCTGTCTTATGTCCTTGTGGTAGCTGCCTCCAGTGCCTGAAATGCTCTTCCTCCAGCTCTGACTGGTTTTCTCTTGTTGCCCAGGCTCAGGCGAAATATTTCCTCCTCAAGAGAGGATTTTCCTGACCACCCAATCAAAAGAAGCGCTCCTCACCCCCCACCACCACCTCTAACCTCATAATGCCACCATCTTTCCCAAATGCATTTTTCTTATTTTGCTATTATAATACTATTTATCACTACCTAATTTTTGTTCACGTCTTTTTTGCCATCTTTCCCATTGGAATGTAAACCATGAGAACAGAGTTTGTCTTGGGTAGCCCTGGGTATCCCTTGTGCCTAGAAGAATGTCTGGCACATGGTAAATAATCAATGTTTACCAAGGAAATGTCTAATTATTTAGACAGAATATATATCTGAACCATTTTTGCTTTACATGTACTTATTATATACATTCCTAGTTCCTTTATCTTAACTCCATCCCAACCCTTCTCTTTTCCTTCCCTTCCTCCCTCTCTCCACCACCTTCTTTCAACAAAAAGATTTCAGCTTATGTTATTCACAATGTGTAGACATGGAACTAACCCATTATACTGGCATAATCCAAGTAATATAATGTTTTTCATCTTTGAATTTTCAATATGATATATTCTATATCATTAATACTTAGATATTTGTATCCATATTATACAAAGCTTTATCTACAAGCATACTGTAGATTTCTGCCTCTCATATTTTGATGCTGTATTCACTTTTTAATCGCCATTATAAAATATTGTTTGTTCTTAGAAATGTTATCATTGTTCTTAGAGCACATTTTTCTTTTATATATTTTTTTAAGATTTTATTTATTTGAGAGAGAGAGAATGAGAGAGAGAGAGAGAGCACGCACATGAGAGTGGGGAGGGTCAGAGGGAGAAGCAGACTCCCTGCTGAGCAGGGAGCCCGATGCAGGACTCGATCCAGGGACTACCAGGATCAGGACCTGAGCCAAAGGCAGTCACTTAACCAACTGAGCCACCCAGGCGTCCTGACTTAGAGCACATTTTTAACAGCTATTCCTTTCCCTTGTTCTTTCCCATACTCCTTAAATACCATACTAAGACAACTTCCTGATCCTATTGGGTGGAATGGGAACTCATGGAATTTAACTGTTTAAATTTAAATGACAAGTAAGATGGAAGATTCTAAAAAGAAGCATCCAGTTGATAATGGATAAATAAATTCTAAGATATATATGTATATATATATATATATGTTTTATTTATTTATTTTAAAGATTTATTTATTTGACAGAGAGAGACACAGTGAGAGAGGGAACACAAGCCGGGGGAGTGGGAGAGGGAGAAGCAGGCTTCCCGCTGAGCAGGGAGCCCAATGCAGGGCTCGATCCCAGCACCCTGGGATCATGACCCGAGCCGAAGGCAGACGCTTAACGACTGAGCCACCCAGGAGCCCCTATATAGGTTTTAAATTCATTCCTGGACATAAGACTAAATTATAATCCTCTTGCTTTCCTCTGTCTTGGTTTGGTAAATGTATTTTCTCCATCTGTGAATAAAACAGAATTAGAATCATTTCATCTGTCTGATTATGGGCTTTTGTGATTGTGTAACATTTCAGACTGCTGAAGTATAAAATTAAGCTACCCAGCTGGATCTTAGAATAGCTTTGTAGCTAATAACTCCAACTGACAAATACAACAAAGTTTTATTTGAATTCAATATAAATTTAACCAAATATTAATATAAAGAAAGTAAAATGTAATGTTTTAATTAAAAATTTTATACTTTCTTATTTCCCATGTGGCTGTGTTTCTACATATGTGTGTAGTATCTGATGACGAGACTGCAATTAAAATTTTAGAAAGGCAGTACTCATTCCAAGAAGATCCATTTCCTTTGGAATTGGATTATTTTATCATGCTTTTAGCTTCAGAGTATAGTCAAAAGCCAAATTTGATGTTCTCCATCCTGATTTTTTTTTTTTTTTTTGACTCCTTGCCTACCCTGGGTTATCATGTGTTTGAAAGTTTTTAAAAAACAAATCACTTTTAAATGCTGCCAAATGAAATCATTTTTAAATATTGCAGTTTGTAATTTTATTTCTTACTTTAGGTACAAGAAGGAATGCATCTTTTGATAACTGGTCCTAATGGTTGTGGGAAAAGTTCTCTCTTCAGAATTTTAAGTGGGCTCTGGCCTGTGTATGAAGGAGTCCTCTACAAACCACCTCCCCAACATATGTTCTATATTCCACAAAGGTAGGTACATATTTTATGTCACAAGAAAATTTCAGTTTGCTTTTGAATTATCTTGATTCCTTAGGCTCCTCAGTTTATAATCTTCAAGCATGTTTTCATTGAGAGAAACTATTAAGGAAATACAAATTCAGTTATCCAAAAGAGTTTTATTATTGCTTTGATTATAAGAGTTTCCAGGACAAGACCACTTCTTTTTATTTTCACATCTATCTAGATGTAATGACCCCTCAAAGACTATAGATGTTAATCTCAAGGAAGAGCAGGCTAGTCAAAGGAATAATTTGATTGCCTTAGATTTCAGATTATCTCTTCTCACAGACAAAATTGTATTTAGATAGTATACTAACCTCTTCATCAAGCTGCATATGTTCATAAGTTCTACAGTTGTTCACTTATGTTTTAAGAGCCTCCATAAAATAGTCTTTATTACAGTCATGCTATATTATTAATTAATATTTTGAAACTACCTTAATTAAAAAAATTACGAATGAGTGTAAAGCATAGAAATATTTTAAAAGAATATTGTTTCTTCTGAAGTCTTTAGCTATCTTTCCTCATAACAATTTAGAAACATCTAAATACAAAGTTATACTCGAGGATTTGGAATATTTATTGTGGATGAGAGAAAATGAAATTTGAAGAAGAGACACACTCATGCTCATCTTTTCCATCTGTCATCACCCTGGGTTAGGTAGAAATCACAGAGCACTCCTAATGTATTAGAAGACTATTCTGTGGAACCTAATAGAGCTCTTAGGGTGAAAGTACAGAACCAGAACAAATATAAAAGTTACATCAAGTATGGTACTATCACATGTCTCTCTTGCCCCTTTTCTCTTGTTAAAAAGTGCTTATACCATCCTGCCACTGGTCTAATTTTTAGACCACATGTTGTAGTTAGGCACATGAGGGTTTGTGGGGCTTTTTGCTTTTTAAAGTATGATTTATGTTAGTAGTAAGATGCTACTTGAAGTATGGGAGAATGAACTGCATTGGCAATAAGAAAATGTTGGATGTGAGCAGTGTCATGAATTCTTATGTTTACCATAAAATAGATAACATTTTGTGGTACCAGAATCATTGTCTCTTCCTCTGTATGCTTTAAAGTCTTTGGGGAAACCTTTTGAATCTGACAACTAAATTATCCTGCCAAAGCGTAAGTTTCAGACATTAATGTGGTATGTAGACTGATTTTATTTTTTTAATTTAGGTATAAGGCATAAAATCACGAGGAAAATATTCTATCATAGAATTCTACTCTCTTAATTGAAATAAAATCATATATATAAATTTTATATTTTTAGCTATTTTAGATTTCTTATATAATATGAAAGATATTATTCTTGAATATAGCTGTGACCTGAGCAATACAAGATATTTCCAAGGCATAGAAAAGTGCATAATCCAGCAAAATCATCCTTCAGAAATTAAGGGGAAATAAAGTCTTTCCTAGACAAACAAAAGCTGAGGGAATCCATTGCCGCTAGACCTGCCTTACAAGACATGCTGAAAGGAATTCTTGAAATTGAAATGAAGCTAACTAGTAACATGAAAATATATAAATATACCAGTAAAAGTAAATATGCTGTCAAATTCAGAATATTCTAACATGATGGCGTGTTAACCACTTAAATATTAGTATGAAGAAAAAAGTATTAAAAATAACTATATTATTTCAATAGAAGAAGTAAATTTCAATATAAAAAGAGATAAGTTGTGATATTAACAACTTAAAAGAGGGAGAGTGAAAGGGTAGAGTTTTTGTATGCAATTGAAATTAGGTTGTTACCACAAAGCAAAAACCTATAGTAGATTCATAGATAAAGAGAAAGGAATCAGAGAGAGAACTACTATAGAAAATCACCAATTCACAAAGGAAGGATGCAATAAAGGGAGAAAGGAGCCAGAGAATGCCAAAAAAACCAGAAACAATAAGATGGCATTAGTAAGTCCTTGCCTATTAACACTTACTCTAAATGTAAATGGATTGAATTCTCCAGTCAAAACATAGAGTGGCTAGATAGATAAAAAAATAAGACCCAACTATATGCTGTCTATGAGAGACTCACTTCAGCTTTAAGTACACACATAGATTGAAAGTGAAGGGATGGAAAAAGATATTCCATGTAAATGGAAACCAAAAGAAAGCAGGGATAGCTATGCTTATATCAGACAAAATAGACTTCAAGTGAAAAATGTTAACAAAAGACAAAGAAGATCATTATATAATGACAATGTGGTCAATTTGTCAAGAAGATGTAATAGTTGAAATATATATGCACCCAACAGTGGGGCACCTAAATATATTAAGCAAAAATTAACAGATCTGACGGAAGTTACACGATAATACATTAATAGTTGGGGACTTTAGGACCCTACTTTCAACAACAAATAGATCATCCAGACAGAAAATTAACAAGAAACATTGAACTTCAACCATACTTCAGACTAAATTGACCTAACAGACATATGCAGGCATTCTATCCAACAGCAGCAAAATACATATTCTTCTCAAGCATGCATGGAACATTCTCTAGGAATATCATATGACACAAAACAAGTCTTACCAAATTTAGGAAGACTGAAATCATACCAAGTATTTTTTCCCATTACAATGGTATGAAAGTAGATATCAATAATAGGAGGAAAACTGGAAAATTTACAAATATGTGAAAATTAAATAATATTCCTGAGCAACCAACAGGTCAAAGAAGAAATCAAAAGAGAATTTTAAAAAATCTTGAAACAAATGAAAATGGAAACAAAATATATGGGATGCTACAATAGCAGTTCTTTTTTTTTTAAATAAAGATTTTATTTATTTGACAGAGAGAGAGAGGGAGAGAGAGAGCACAAGCAGAGGGAGTGGCAGGCAGAGGAAGAGGAAGAAGCAGGCTCACCACTGAGCAGGGAGCCCCTGGATCCCTGAGCAGGTCCTAGGATCCCAGGACCCTGGGATCACAAGGCAGATGCTTAATTGACTGAGCCACCCAGGTGCCCCTACAATAGCTGTTCTAAGAGGATCATTTATAGTAGTAAATGCCTATATAAAGATGAAAAAAGATTTCAAATAAACTTTACACCTCAACGAACTAGAAAAAGAAGAACAAATAAAGCCCACAGTTAACAGAAGGAAGGAAATAACAAATATCAGAGCAAAAATAAATGAAATAGAGAAAAAAGGAATGACAGAAAAGATCAACAAACCTAGGAGCTACTAGTTTGAAAAGATAAACAAAAGATAAACCTTTAGCTAAAATAAGAGAAAAAGAAAGAAGACTCAAATAAATAAAATCAGAAATGAAAGAAGAGACATTACAACTGATACCTTAAAAATATATAGGGTCTTAAAAGACTACTATAAACAATTGTATACCAACAAATTGGACAACCTAGAAGAAATGGATAACTGCCTAGAAACATCCAACTTACCAAGACTAAATCATGAAGAAAGAAAATATGAACAGAGCAATAGCAAGTAAAGAGATTGAATCAGTAATGAAAAATCTCTCAGCAAAGAAAAGTCCAAGCCAGTTGGTTTCACTGGTAAATTTCTAACAAATATTTAAAGAAGAATTAATGACAATCTTCTCAAACTCTTCCAAAAAATCAAAGTACTCCCAAACTCATTTTATGAGGCCAGCACTACCCTTATCCAGATGAGGACACTACAAAATAAGAAAACTACAGACCAATATCCCAGATAAATATAGATGCAAAAATTCTCAACAAAATATTAGCAAACCAAATTTAACAGCCCATTAGAAGAATCAGACTATGATCAAGCAAGATTTAATCCTGAGATGTAAGAGTGGTTCAACATATGCAAATCAATAAGTGTGATGCACCCCATTAATAGAATAAAAGATAAAAATCATATGATCATCTCAATAGATGAAGAAAAAGCACTTGAAAAAAATACAACATGATTTCATGACAAAAACTCTCAATGAAGTGGGTATATAAGGAACATACCTCAACATTATAAAAGACCATATATGACAAACCCACAGCTAACATAATACTCAACAGTGAAAGATTGAAAGCTTTTTCTCTAAGATCAAGAACAAGACAAAAAAGAAAAAGAACAAGACAAGGGTACCCAATCTGACCACTCTTATTCAACATAGTACTAGAAGTTCTAGTCAGAGCAATTAGGTAAGATACAGAAATAAAAGGCATCCAAATCAAAAGGGAAGAAGTAAATTGTCTTTGTTAGCAGATGATATAATCTTACATATAGAAAATCCTGAAAATTCCACAAAAACATTCAAATCAATGAACTTAATAAAGTTGTAGGATACAAAATCCACATATAGAAATCAACTGCATTTCTATACCCTACCAACAAACTATCTGAAAAATAAATAAAATAATCTCATTTATAATAGCATGGAAAACAATAAAGTACTTAGGTATACTTGACTGAGGGGGTGAAAGATCTATACACTGAAAACTATAAGGCTATGATTAAAGAAAATGGGGAAGACACAAACAAATGGACAGATATCCAAGTTCATGGATTGGAAGAATTAATATTGCTAAAATGTCTATACTATCCAGAGCCATCTACAGATTCAGTGTAATTCCTGTCAAAATCCCAATGGCATTTTTCATAGAAATAGAAGAAAACTATCCTAAAAATTGTGTAGAACCACAAAAAAGCCCTGAGGAGCCAAAGCAAATCTGAGAAAGAACAAAGCTGGAGGCATTGCACTTCTGATTTCAACTATACTATAAGTGTATAGTCACCAAACAGTATGATGCTGGCATAAAAATAGATATAGACCAATGGAATAGAATCAAGGGCCCAGAAATAGGGACGCTTGGATGACTTAGTCAGTTAAGCATCTGACTCTTGACTTCAGCTCAGGTCATGATTGCAGGATCATGAGCTTGAGCCCTGCATCAGGCTCCATGCTGGACATGGAGCCTCCTTAGGATTCCCTCTCTCCCTATGCCCCTCCCCACTCCCACGTGCTCTCTCTCTTCCTCTCTCT